CCATCCATCCATCCACCATCTGTCCATCCATCCAACTCTCCATCCAACTTTCCATCCATCCATCCACCATCTGTCCATCCATCCAACTCTCCATCCAACTTTCCATTCATCCATCTGTTTCTCACCTCAACCACTTGAAGATGGGTGAACTTCAACTCCCAGAATTCCCCAACCAGCATGTTGAGAAGCACACTGATCTCCCTCTCCCTCCTTCCCTCCTTCCCTCCCTTCCTCCCCCTCTCTCTGCCTATCTCTGATTGCGCTCCCCCCCCAATCCATCCATCCACCCACCCACCCATCCTTCTGTCTATCTAGGTGTTTCTCAGTCTTAGCAGCCTGAAGATGGGTAGACTTCAACTCCAAGAATTCCCCAGCTAGCATGTTGGAAAGAACTTATCTGTATCTCCCTATCATCTCTTCCCCCTACCCCCACATCCATCCATCCATCCATCCATCCACCCACCCACCCATCCATCCATCCATCCATTCATCCTTCTCTTCATCCATTCATATGTCCATCCAGTTGTTTCTCACCCTTGACCCTTCGAAGAGGGGTGGACTTCAACTCCCAGAATTCCTCACCCACCCATTTACCTTTACCAGTTATTTGGCTCTTCCAACCTGGCCTTTCAGGTGGGAAAAGAACGATGGGAGCTCATTGTCCTCTCCAGGGAAGGTCTCCAGAAGAAGACTTGCTCAAAGTAGGCGTTCAGAAGCTCCCTCTGTTCTGCTCGTCGTCTTGACGGCAGCCGATGTTGGTGTGTCTTCTTTTTCCAGACAGAAAACTGAGCCGGGATGGAGCCCCCTCCGGTCTGACCCCAACCCTTACTTCCAGGTGGACCTTCTCCAGCCCTTCTTCATCACAGCAGTGGCCACTCAAGGTGGAGGCAGCTCTGGGGGATTCGTCGTACGTTATCGCCTGCTTTATAGCAACAACGGGGTCCATTTTTGGAACTACACCAAACCTGGGTATGGCCCAGTCTCATCTCTAAAGGCTCAGGTATGGGATTTCCCCACTTCCTTTAAAAAAAATTTATTGAGAACTTAAAGCATTAAATACAAACACCTTTAAAAATAGTTTTGCATAAGTTACAATCCCTTTTTGACACTACTAACATAACCATTTGTTATTCAAGTACATTTTTTATACATTCCTAATTATTCCTCTATACCAGTGTTTTTCAACCTTGGCAGTTTGAAGATGTGTGGACTTCAACTCCCAGAATTCCCCAGCCAGCATCGCTGGCTGGGGAATTCTGGGAGTTGAAGTCCACACATCTTCAAACTGACAAGGTTGAGAAACACTGCTCTATACATCTATATTTCTAAGCTGTACATTTCATGTTCCTCTTATTTCTCCATTGATACCAGTTTTTCCCAAACTATATAATATTCTGAATCTTCCTTGTCCCTCAACTCCAAGATGAGTTTATCCATCTCTGCGCAATCAAGAATCTTTTGAGGTTTGAGGTTTATTTTATTTATATGCCGCCCTATTCCCTGAGGGACTCAGGGCGGCTCACAAACCCAAAGGGAGGGGGGAGGTAAACACAAGAAACTACAACAGAAAAGATACAGGGGAATTTAAAAGACAACCAACAGTCACACGATTCGAGAGGGGAAGGGAACTCATCAACCCCAGGCCTGCTGACACAGCCAGGTTTTAACGGCTTTTTGGAAGGCCTGGAGAAACATGAGGGTCTGAATCTCTGTGGGGAGCTCGTTCCAAAGGGCCGGAGCAGCCACAGAGAAGGCCCTCCCCCGGGTAGTAGCCAGATGACATTGGCCAGTAGATGGAACCCGGAGGAGGCCGACCCTGTGTGATCTAATGGGTCTTTGGGAGGTAATTGGCAGCAGGCGGTCTCTCAAGTACCCAGGTCCAATACCATGAAGGGCTTTATAAGTGACGACTAGCACCTTGAAGCATATCCGGAGACCGATCGGTAGCCAGTGCAGCTCGCGGAGGATAGGTGTAACGTGGGTGTACCGAGGTGCACCCACAATCGCTCGCGCGGCTGCATTCTGGACGAGCTGAAGTCTCCGAATGCTCTTCAAGGGCTGCCCCATGTAGAGCGCATTGCAGTAGTCCAGTCTTGAGGTCACAAGGGCATGAGTGACTGTTGCAAGTGCCTCCCGGTTTTGGATTATCAAACAGTCGGTCGGCATGGGTATCGCTTTTCCAAGATTGCGCGAGTGCTATTCTCGCTGCTGTAATTACGTGCCGAATTAAATATTTGATCTCTTTCGTATACTTTCCCTTAATAATCCCCAGAAGGAGCAGTTCTGATTTGAACTCTATTTGGGTGTTTGTCATTTCCTCTTAACCATTTTTGCATTTTAGTCCAATATTTTTTAGCTTTCGGGCGTAACCACCACGCACGAAAGAAGATACCCAGCGCCTGTTTACATTTCCAACACTTTGGATTTAAGTTTGGATGCATTTTTGCCAGTCTTGAGGAGGTTAAAATGCCAGCGCTAAAACATTTTGTATTGGGTTTTGGTTTTTTTGTACGCAACAGATTTTGTCATTGTAAAATTTTTATTCCAAATTCTTTCCCAATCTCCCAACTGAATATTAACCCAAGTTTTTAGCCCAGGCTATCATTGGTCCTTTCATTATTTCCTCTGCCATGTCAGGGATCTCCCCACTTCCAATCCAGGAAATGATCCAGGATCTCAAAGTCAGCCTGGCCTCCTGGTTTCTCTGTCTCAGATACAGTAGTGGAATATAGTCTGGATTCCCAGAAGGGAGGGGCTGCCATTCCAGAGGAACAAGAGGCAGGGAAGTTCAAATAATTTGATCCAGGGGAGAAAGAGTCATGTTGGCCATGTTCCCTGGAGGTTCTCAGAATCCAGTTAGTTTTTGCCTTACAATGCTTCATTCAGTGACCGCTTGAAGAGATCACGGCACTGGAAAAGAAAGCGACTGAGGACCATGTCTCAGATGTACGACCGTCGCGGCATCCCCACAGTCACGTGACTTACTGTTGGTTGCTTGAAAACCGACCCATGTTTATGACAGTTGTGGTGTCGGGGGGGGGGGGCGTTGTGACCTTCCAACCATTGGAAGCCAGATTCACTTAACGACCGGGTGATTAATTTCACACATGCAGGGATTCACTTCAGAAATGGGGCAAGAGAAGTCGTAGAATGGGGCAAAAGTAGCGGTTGTCTCTACTTAGCAACCTGAAGTTCTGGGCTCAATTGTGATCGTAAGTTGAGGACTACCTGTATCGAGGGGGGTCCTTGACTTACAACTGTTCATTTAGCAACTTTTCAAAATTACAATGGCATTGAAAAGTGTGATTTGAAGTGATGTGTTCGAAGAGGGAGGAGGAGGAAGAGGAGGAGGACTGTGGGTTCCTTGGTCCTCTCTGAGCTGGGTGGTTTTCTTACAGACATTTCATGACCCAATTAGGTAACATCATCAGTGCTAGTAAGGAGTGCAGTTTGCCTAGTGAGGAGAGCACCCCTTACTAGTACTGGAGATGTAATGAAACAACTGCAAGAAAACAAGCAAGCTCAGTGAGCACCAAGCACCCTTCAGAAATTTTGGGTTCAGTTATGGTTGCAGATCATAACCATGAAACAAGTCGGTTGCTTTAGTTTGGCAAGATTCTGTCTGTTGGTGAGGAACAATAATGGAAGATGCTTAGAAGAAACTCCACATGCCTCTCTTGGTTTTTCCAAGTCTGACAGCTCAGAAGAAAGAGCCCAGAGCCTTTTCTTCCTCCTTCTGTGGGCGTTGCCAAATCTGAGGATTGACTGTGAGCTTCACAAAACTGGAAACGACATTTGACGGTGTCTTCTCTCCGTGGGTTACTCTCTTCTGTTTTTCAATCCCTTTCTCTCCCTCCTTACCAATTTCTCTTCGATGCTCTTCTCTGCTTTGCCGAGAGGACGAGGGGATTCCATACTCTTGAACCACACGTTTTGTCCTCTCCAAATTCTTCCGCAGGTTCTGGAGGGGAATTCAGACAGCAACACCCCGAGACGGCAGGAGCTCAGCCCGACTCTCCTCGCCCGTTTCCTGCGCTTCGTGCCTGTGGAGTACCACCAAAGCGTTTCCTTGCGCTTGGAGGTGTTTGGCTGCTCCTGGAGTGAGTTGAGGCTGGGGAGGGGATGTTGGAGGGCGTGGAAGTTGCAGAGATGGTGTACAGCTCAGGGCTGCCTTGAGAGTTACCGCGTCTTCAGGACCTGCGGCTTTCTGATGTTGCTCTGCCAATTTTGCCAACAGGAAAGGATACTGGGGGGGGGGGGATGTGACATCTTAAGGGCTAAGATTCCTCTGACTGTCCTTGACATGGGGGGGATCCTCCTCTTCTTCCTCTCGACCGCTTCGTTCTTTCTCGCACAACCCAGAGACGGACCGTGCCGTGGGACGGTTGACCTCTGCCAGCCGCAGCCCCGCCCCAGGAATAATCCGTACGAGACCCAGTGAAGCCCCATCTCCTCCTGAGAAGCCCATTGGCACCCCTGCCCGGTTGCCACCTTCCACCAAACCGGAGACCACGACAGTTTCCCATACAGGCGTTACGGGGTTGACCCCTTCTCGGCAGTTCCAGAAAACCACCATGCCAGCTGCTTTATCCACGGCGATGCCCGGTATTCGCTGGTCCACTTCTCGGCCGCTGGTGACTCCTGGATCAACCAGTGTTTCTGGAGTGCCCACGTGGCATATTCTCCCGCACAGCCCTGGAACCCCTGGATGGAGGCCCACCTTGTCAGGTGAGGCGGGCGGGCCACGAATTCGGTGGGGTGGGAAGAATGGGATTGGGGGATGCCAGCTCAAATCTTGACTCCAAAACTGAAACTGCAAGAGGGACCTTGGAGTCCTAGTGGACAATCCTTTAAACATGAGCCAGCAGTGTGCAGCCGAAAAAGCTAACACGGTCCTCGGTTGTATAAACAGAGGCGTAGAATCAAAATCAGGCGAAGTGTTAGCACCGCTTTATAAACCCTTAGTAAAGCCACACCTGGAATAACTGCATCCAGTTCTGGTCCCCACATTACAAAAAAGTGGTTGAGATTTTGGAAAAAAAGGGCAGAGAAAAGCAACTGAGATGATTAAAGGGCTGGAGACCAAAACATCTGAAGAACGGCTGCAGAATTTGAGTTTGGCCAGTCTACAGAAGAGAAGGACTGGGGGGGACATGGTAGCAGCCTTCCAGTATTTGTGGGGCTGCCCGAAAGAAGAGGGGGTCAAACTATTCTCCAAAGCACTAGAAGGCAGGAGAAGAAACAATGGACGGAAACTAATCAAGGAGAGTGGCAACCTGGAATTAAGGAGAATCTTCCTAACAGTGAGGACAATCAGCCAGTGGAACGGCTTGCCACCAGAAGTTGTGGGTGCTCCACCATTGGAAGTTTTTAAAAAGAGATTGGAAAACCGTTTGCCTGAAATGGACTAGAAGACCTCCCAGGTCCCTTCCTACTCTCCTAAATCTGTAAGGGTCTCCTGCTTGAGCAGGGGGTTGGACTAGAAGACCTCCAAGGTCCCTTCCAACTCTGTCATTCTCTTATGTCAGCTTCACCATGATGTCATGAGTGCCTCCCCCCTCCCCAGATATCAATAGAAGGGACAGGCAGAAGCCCCTCCTCATTTCAACTTCCCGTGAGGACGCTTTGGGGTCTGCCCCCCCCCAGAGGATTTTGCCCCAATGCCACCCCTGACTCCATTGTCCCCTTTCTCTTTGGCAGTGCCCACTCTCATGCCCTCTGCTGGGATGGCGCGGGTCCTTTGCACGCAAGGACAATTTACCTGCGAGACCTTTGGCTGCGTAGAGGCCGCTTCCGTCTGCGACGGGCAGCCGGACTGCGCCGATGGCTCGGACGAGGCCCACTGCGGTGAGTGCGTGCCAAGCACTGGGAAGGATCCTCTGTTGGTCTTGTTGCCTCTTGGCTCTCATCACGTTCTGGACGGCGAGAGGCTCTAAGGAACATGGAGAAAGTCTCCAGGTTCCTCCAGGCTTCAGGGGTTTCGACTGCTGTCTTCAGCCTCAGTACACCCCAGCGAGGTGGGACGTTGCCTTTCATCTGGCAATTGTTGTCCAGCCAAAGAAATTTGGATTCATGGATTCCATATACGGCTTGCAAATGCTATCAGCGCTTGGTTGGGGAAGGAAGAGAAGGAAGAGAAGGAGAAGGGGAGTGAGAAGATGAATAAGGAGGAGAAGGAGGAAGAGGAGAAGAAGGAGAATAGTGGAAAAGGAGAATGAAGGAGAAGGTAGCTGAGGAGGAGGAGAAGGAGGAGAAGGAGGAGGCGAATGAGAAAGATAACAGATGAGAAGGAGAAGATAAGGAGGAATAAGGATAATGAGGAGAAGGAGATAAAAGATGAGGAGAAGGAGCAGGAGAAGGAGGATAGAAGCAGAAGGAAAGGAAGAGGAGAAGATAGAGAAGGAGGAGAGGAAAAGAAAGAGGATAATGAGAAGGAGACAATAGGTGAGGAAAAAGAGAAGGAGGGGAAGGGAAAAGTAGAGGTGGTGAAGGAGGAGGAGATAGATAAGAAGAAAGAGGAGAAGAAGGAAGATAAGGAGAAGGGGAATAGATGTGGAGAAAGGAGAAGGAGAAGATAGGTGAGGAGGCGAATAAGGAGGAAGCTAATGAGAAGAAGGAGATAAAAGATGAAGAGAAGGAGAAGATAGATAAGGAGGAAGAGAATAAGGATAAAGAGAAGGAGGAGAAGGAGAAGAGAGGAGGAAGAGATAAAAGAGGAGGAGGAGAAGGGGAAGGAGAAGATAGATAAGCAGAAGGAGAAGGAAGAGGAGAAGATAGAGAAGGAGGAAAAGAAAGAGGATAATGAGAAGGAGACAATAGGAGGACGAGAAGGAGGGTAAGGGAAAGATGGAGGTAGATGAGAAGATAGGTGAAGAGATTGAGGAGGAAGCTAATGAGAAGAAGGAGATAAAAGATGAGGAGAAGATAGATAAGGAGGAAGAGAATAAGGATAATGAGAAGGAGATAAAAGGTGAAGAGAAGGAGGGGGAGGAGGGGGAGGGGAAGATAGATAAGCAGAAGGAGGAGGAGAAGATAGAGGAGGAAAAGAAAAAGGATAATGAGAAGGAGACAATAAGTGAGGAAAAGGGGAAGTAGGTGAGAAGAATGATAGATAAGAAGAAAGATGAGAAGAAAGAAGCTAATAAGAAAAAAAATAGTGGAGAAAGATACTAAAGGAGAAGGAGAAGATAGGAGAGGAGGAGGAGGTGAATGAGAAGGAGAAGGAGATAATAGATGAGGAGGAGGATGGGAAGAAAGATAAGCAGAAAGAGAAGGAAGAGGAGAAGATAGAGAAGGAGAAGAGGAAAAGAAAGAGGATAATGAGGAGACAATAGGTGAAGAAGAAGAGAAGGAGGGGAAGGGANTCTAACATTGCCGCAGCCAAAAAAGCGAGCACAAAGTTGCCTAAACAGAGGCACAGAATCAGAATCATGTGAAGTCTTAGTACTGCTTTGTAAAGCCTTAGTAAGGCCACACCTGGAATGCGGCATCCGCTTGGGGTCACCATGCTCCAAAAAAGATGTTGAGACTTTGGCGGAAACTTCAAAGAAGTGGTGGGATTCAGCCGGTTTGCATCGGTTCAGTCGAACTGGTTGTTATTTTTTTGTGGAGTCTGGTGAACCAGCTGAATAGCATATGCCTCGCCCAGCTCTCCCTGGCCCCTCCCTTTCCTGCCAGTGAGTGGTCAGGAGGCGAGGTGAGTGGTCACATGGCCGGGTGAGCAGCTGGGCGAGGCCAGGAGGCCAGGCAAAGAGAGGTTGGGGCAAGGCGAGATGCCCCACAAGGTGAGCGATGTTGAGTTGGCCACGCCCCAATCACATGACCTCTCGGCCACGCCTACCCAGCGGGTCATTAGGGCATATAATTGGTTGTTAAATGATTTGAATCCCACCAGTGCATTAAGAAGATTAGGGGACCGGAAGCTGAAATATATGAATGGGTGGGATTAATGGATTTGGTTGTGGCCCTCAAGAGCCAAGATGGCCGTCCCGCTTCTTCTTGAGAACTTCCAGAGAATGGAGGATCCACAGCCGTTGCTCTGCTCTTCTAGGGATTTGAGATCGTGAAGGGTTTTCCATGTCCCAAAGGGGCTTTTTTCAAGACTTTCTCTTTTTTTTTTTCTCTGAAGATGTTCACTTCTCCTCCGAGAAGCTTCTTCAGCACTGACCGCCATGGTGGGGAATGGAAGGATTCATACTCCTTGCAGACAACTGGTCATTTGTATTCTTTTTAAAGCGTCGTTGAGGCCACTTGGAGATTTATCTGTGTCCTCAGGGTCACCTAGGTAGTGTAAAGGTGCCGTTCCAAGAAGGCTCCACCCCCATTTGCACGACTCAGATAAACCTCCAAGTGGCCTCAATGGCTCTCGAGAAGAATGCAAATGAGCAGCTGTCTGCAAGGCATTTCAATCCCTCTATTCCCTACCACCATCTGGTCAGTTCTCCCAAATGGGCGTAAGGCATGTCTTCCTATGTGTGAACGGATATCCAGAGTACCAGGTAGCATCTCCTCTTCCTCCTCCCTTGTAGGTGTCCCCGGGTGGAAGGCCGTCGCCCGAGGCCCATAGTCCCACTCCGCCAGGTAAGGGGAGATAGAGAAAGATCCGTTTTTCACGGGTAACTTTTTGTCTAGCTGAAAGAGAAATACAAAGAAGACATGCCTTA